GAGGTTAAAGTACTCTCACTACGTTAGGATTTCCAAGGGGGGAGAGACACATCTGGTCTACCTTGAGATCAAGTAAACAAGAACAGTGGATTTAAGACCGCGTCAAGACACTCGCAAACAATCTATGTATCTGGCATATTTATGATATTGCCATATCGCTCAATGTGTGTTTTCAAGGTGCCTGGCAAAACAGCAACGGTTATTATGTCAAGGTGCTGTGTCAGCACATCTCGAGAAAAGGCGCAAAAGCTATTTAAACTGAGCAGTGCTGAACAGGATGGTTGAATTATAGGAGGTGTAAATATGGATTAGGTTTGACAATTCTGGACTTTTATTTGGGATGTATTTGACCGATCGCACTCTACATCTCTTACTTTGCTCCTATTTCCAATACGGTCCCCCAACCACACAGTACAGAACACTCGTCCTCCCGCGGTCGGTGCTGACAAAAGACAGGTGCATTCCAGCCTTTTAAATATGGCAACACGCCACGGCCCCCGGCCGTATCGATACCCATGAATAATCAACCACAGCTGCACGGCACAGCCGCTCCAGACACGAGTAAAGAGGGAGCCACGGCACAGCGAAGCAGAGGGGAAAACCATCCTTCACCCAGATATTATGGTTTTCTGAGAGTGAAACCTTAAAAACATGTAGAAATTTGAAATGACAATAATCCTCAACCATTTACTGACACAGAAGGCCACTAAACAAATTTACTAGAAACAAAAAAAAGATGTCAGAAAAGCCAAAAAAGTAATGCGCACTTTCTGTTGCAGAAATCTGATTTTCTTTTGCTCCTAACTCATTAATCACCTCTGGATCACTCAGATTCATCCAGCCACACCTTGACCCTTCCTACTCCGCAACGTTGGTAACCACCGCTCTTTACAACAGCAGGCGAGTTAGTTTGGGATTCACTCAAAATGACCATCAAGAGGAAATAATGGTGTAACATGGGAGGTCTGTGGCGCTGACGAAGAAGAATGTTGCCACTTCAAACATGAGGATATCTACAAAATGAATAGTTACTTCTTGTGCACAGCGCACCACACAGACAGGAAGTGGGAGAAAGAGAGAAACGATATAGGCTGTAATCTCAAGCCCAATGTTCTTAGTCAACTGACCTCTCTCTCTCTCTCTCTCTCTCTGTCTCTCTCTGTCTCTCTCTGTCTCTGCATCCCGGCAGCAGGGAGTCTCCCGCTTCGAGAGGCCCAGTTCAGTGAGGCGGCTGCGTGCCAGGATACGGCGCAGTGCCGGCTGTAGGTTTGGAGCTTCTGTGCTAGGTGACGGCTTAGAGAAAATCCCTCTCCTGAATAGGCGGCCTGGTTTATTGGCGGGGCAGGTCACCACCGGACAGTCATAGAGGCTGAAGAGCTCATCGGCGCGGCGCCTCAGGTCTTTGCGGGGGAAAGTGGGATATCTTGAGGAAAGAAAATGCAACCTCCAGCTTTGGAATCAAAGTCCGCTTTGTTCAGAAGACACCGTCAACTCTGCCTTTCACTGCTCTCACCGGAAGAAAGATTAAAGCCTCAGAAAAACGCCTTTGGTGAATCCTTATTGTATTGATCGGCTAAATTCAGCTGTAGTGAATTATTCATACGAGAAGAACATGCCCGGGAGGACCAGAGACTTTTGTCTATACGTCCCTTACGCCCACATTGTGATCTAGCAGGACAGTTGTTTGGCCTCCATTCACTGATGGAGTAAAGAACCAATCAGGAAAGGCCACAGCACCGAAGTCTGGTTGAAGACTCAACTGAGGCAGTGTTTGTGGCACTACAGTCTGAGTCTAAATGCTGCATTGCACCTTAAAAATGTTATAATAATGTAAATCAATCCGCTCTCTGTGTCCCTCTTTTTCTCTGTGCAATCCTCATGTGCATGGCTGACTGCCAGCATCTCTGTTCCCCAGAAATGTAAACTAGTCAATTGGGTGTGTGTTCTTTGGAATAAGCAAATAACTACCGATATCTTTAAAGGTGCAGCTCTTTCAAATTGTTAAATGCAAAATGCATGGACTTATTCTGTGCACTTATCTGTGTGACAGATACAGCTGCAACACTTCTGCACCAACAGTATAACATGTAAATACTAAACAAATGTGGACAGCTGTCACAGGTAAAACACAGTTTCTATCTTACTTGACATATTTGTTGTTCACCGTCGACTATGTTTGTCAGTGTCCGCTCCTGTTTTTCATGGCATTTTAAGCACAATCGCGTGTTGGTGGTAATGGTTGGCGGTTAGAGACTCAGTAACCCACCAGTGATACATTTCACAGTGATGCAAAACAGAGGGATAAAAACAGGGTGGGCGGCGACACTGGAATCGACTGTACCTGTTTTCATTTGCTCTGTCACTTGTGTGAGAGATATGTGACCCCGAGGTCCAGACACTGAGTGGAAACTCATTTAAGCCGCCTGTCCGATTTATGCGCTCCATGCTTGGACAAGGGTTTGTATGTGTGCCGTATGCTTGCGTGTGAAAGACAGAGTGTGCGCATGTGTTTGTGGTCAAGCACACGTTCAAATGTGATATGTGTGAAAATTTGATAAATTAGTTAAGAATGTTTGAAAAAACTAAATTGCTGATCCAGTGTTGCACTACATCCAGTAGCTGTGAAACAACAAGACCGTCCTCTGTCAAAAAAGGAAGGTTGTATAATAGAGGGCATCAGATAAGGAACTATTATTTGGCTCAATGAAGGTTTTTTGAAGAATTTCTGATAAAAACTGCTATTACTTCTAGACATTTGAGAAAATACATTAATGGAAATCACGCAAAACCTTTTTTGCTTGCAACTTCTCTCTGAGGTTAATAAAAGTTGATACACTCTTAAGTGAGACAATATGTTGATCGGACGCTTGTAAGGAAGGTTAACAACATTGTATTATTAATAAATTTGTATTATTTCTTTAAAGCTATTCATGTCTGAGTGCATTGTGGTATGAATACAAGTGACCAATTCAGATATGAACCAGCTAGACATTCATCTCCTGGTGTGTGTCCACACTGGGCAAGCTTTAATAAATCACCGGGGCAGTGTGGGAGCAGGGGGGGTTGGGCCCCGTCGGGATCCAGGATGCCTCACAAAGCAGTCTGAAGCAGAGAGGAGCGAATGGGTGGAGGGGCTGTAGAGGGGTGGAGTGAAGGGCGAAGGAATGGCCCGAACACAAAGAGCACAGAGCAGAAAAGGCATTGGCGGGACGGGGCTCGGGGATTGGATGCTTAAACGTGACTGTAGTAAACAAAGATTTAGACTGGGAGAAAAAAGAACTGGGAGGTGAGCTCTGCAATTATTAAGCAAAGGGCCGAGAACGTGAGAGGAAGGGAAAGTGATTGATTAGCATTATTTCTGGCCCAAATAAAGAGGCTAAAATTTATCTTGTTCCTCACTTCTCAGGACCTAAAATGAATATAAAAAGCATGTTTGACATCTTAGTACTTTTGAGGGTTGTTATAGATGAATGTAATCACAAATATCACCCAAAATGCCGGCGCCAATGAAAATAACTCAACGCGACAGCCACTATTTGGAGGCACGATGCAGGTTTCAAGGGTCAATGTGCAAAGTGCTGTAGCTTTTTTGTATTTTGCTAGCAAAAAACAAAATGAAGCATGAACTGAGATGGCTGTTTCAATAACTTATACAGTCGGCAGCTTTCCTAAAAGGAGATTCCAAATATTGCATCAGTTCGTAATTTGGCCGGCGTCCCGGACGCCGTCGTCCGTCTTCTCGAGCAGGAACGCACTAAAAAAGGGTGGCCGGCGATACAGAGAATGACTGGACAGGATATCCAGCTCAGAGGAGTGGGAGAGCTCACACATTCTGTGCCACTGAGTCAGTGTGTTCGCAGGGAAGTCGGCCTTCGTCATCGCCGACCTCACCGGGCAGACGGAGGCCTGTTAAAATGCCTCTCAGCTTGAATCATGGCAGCAAACAGAGGCAAGCGGTTGCTTGGAATGCCCCCCCCCCTCCCCTCCCCCTCTTCCCCCATCTTCCCCCCCTCCCTCGTTGCCAAGCCAAGCAGGCCGGCAGTGACGGGGGTCAGCCGGGGCTGCACAGTGAGCCCTCAAGGAAAATGAATGTGATAAAAAGAACAATTGGCGGAGAATGAGCCGCGCAAAGGAATTTCCTCAGAAGACTGAGAAACAGGATGAGTTCAGTTCACAATAAAAACATCTTTGTGAAATGCTGAGCTCACCTCTGACACCCTTGATGTGAGATACTACCTGAAATGTAACTTCATCACTCTGATGTCTGTCATCTGCCCACTATGCTGTCAGATGAGAGTCTGGTGACACTGGAGAACCACACCCAAAATGTCCCACTAAGAAGTAAGAACTCACATCTGGATTCTTGGATGAAAACGGCTAAAATCTCGGAACCAACTTGATCCTGTCGCCTAATAAACAGATGATTTATTGTTTTGTTTCTAAAATGGCATAATCTGTAAAAAAAAAAAAAAAAAAAGGAAATGCCCATCCTGGCTTTGCTTCAGCTCTGGGACCATCAACACAGGGATACTTGAACAGTAAAAGCAGCAAATGGTCACATTTTTGTTTTGAAAATAACATTGATTATCAAAATAGATGCAGATTAATTCTTAGTCGGTCAATGTATCTTTCCAGGTTCTAATAATAAACAAGCCTATCTTTCCGAGCCATATTGATTGTGGGTCTTGATTTAATGTTAATTCAACCCTTGCACTCTTGTCGGGGTGATTCCAGTGTGGACTATAACGTGGGCGTGCAAACAGATTACTTGACTATTCCTGCTGTAAAACTCGCACAGGCTTCATGCACACTCGTGTTAGTCTATATTGTGAACATATGTTCACTTCCATTCTTATAAGGAAAGTGCTGATAAGGGGGCCCGGTCAAGAACAGGGGCCTCCAGCAACATTCTTTAAAGACCTTTAATTCCTCGCTTTGTACAGTGAAGTAAATTACAACACATCCAGCTTTGTGGACGAAGCTTTAACTACTTTACTCACCTTTTCCTGTACTCGTCCCTCTCCCGCTTGACTTTGGCCAGCACGTTATACAGAGCCCTCAGTTCTGGCGTGATGGTGTCGATTTGGACCCCAACTCCGTCCGGGTGCGACCACGTCACCCCGGGGGCGCGCAGGGTCTCGAAGCGCTCCCCTTGCCTCCTGACGTGGGTGAAACTCCAAATGGTTCCCGGCATACGCGCGTCGGCGCCGTCCGTCTGCACGGCGACCTCGCGGGCGTACAGGTGTCGGTAGTGCGTTCTGAGCAGAGCCTGCTGCAGCTGGCTCTCCAGCAGTTTGTTTCTCCTCTCGAGTTCGTGCACCTTGGCGAGGAAGCAGCGGAACCGCAGGTTGAGGGTCTTCAGCACGTGGATGTTGGAGCCCAGGTCGTTACGCAGGGCGCTGGTCACCGCGCCCGACCCGCCCGGGGCGCTGCAGCCCGGGCCGGGCGGCCGGTCGGAGTAAAAGAGAGAGTTCATGACGGCGAAACAACGACACCCAGTAATCCAATTATGGCTCCAATCTGCTCTTTCCTTTTTTCTCTTTTTTTAAAAATGTAACAACAAGAAAAGAGGTTGTTTGTATTAGTGCATAATTGCTTCACAAGCCCACTCCCACAGGACGAGTTTCCCCTTACAATGCAGATGCTGAGGGCGGCTGTGAGGCAGGAGAAGCGGGGACCATCACCGTGCCCGTTGGATGTTTACCCCGAGGCGCTGACATGGACCAACGCAGCAAGTACAGAACAAACCCCCAAAAGTCCTCTGAGGAGAATCCGAGGGCATTATCTTCCGAGGGAGCGAGAGGTTTGACGCAGACCGCGATGAGCACCGGCAGTACCTCCCGTCAGACTCATCTCCGGGTTTGCCTTTCGCTTTTGTCAGTCGCTGCTGATGCTGAGGTGGGTTCGTGTGAGCCTGCCGTCACATGTAGATGGTCCACCTCCTTTCTTCGTCATCCCGCGACGGCTCGATCCGGTCTCTCCGCGCGCTTCCGTGGGAATGGCAGGACGCAGCGCCGCAGAGCCCGGCCTCCCCGTGGTGCGCGCGGATCATGTTGCAGAGCGCTAAACTCGGCACCGAACGGCGGCCCCTCCCACTCCGCTCCCACCTTTCCGTTTATTCTCTCGCGCGGTGGCAGCAGACGGAGGACAGCGTCGATAAGATATAAGCCTGGTTAATAAGATGAAGAAGCCCGGAGGAACAACAAAGCATTTCAACTTCATTTAGTTTGAACGTGTATTATTTATGCATTTAGGGTTTTTTTTTTGTCATAAGGCAAATTGTTTACGCAACATCTCTCGTGAGAGACTTGTTTTTAATGTATTTACTCAATTGTTCAAACTATATGTTTTAGGGTGTAATATATTCGTACGTGTACAGGTTTCCTCATTTCATCATTTTACATTGATCTTTGAGAACGTTGTATTTTTTAGATACAAACGTTGTTTGCATAAATATGTCAGTACTATGGGAACATTTGCTTGAAATGTTACTAATGTCACTAAAATGATTGATTTCCCATCATAATACCTGTTGCTACTCTATTGTAATACATTGTTCATTGGCTATTTCAGCATTACATTTATGTATTGCGTACATGGAACGGATGGAACGCATTTTGCCCCCATTTATAATTAGTTAGTTTAAAAATATTGAAGAACAGTGATGAAGCCAACATCCCGTGTGTTTTTGGGAGGCAGCAGAAGTAACGTCATGCATACATACATTTTTGATTAAAAGTCTTTTATTTCTTTTAGTCAGGCACCACACGGTCGGCTTCAGCAAACCGAAACATTTGGGGTCCTTTCTCTTCACGTGTGCGTCTGCTGCTGCATCGTGAGAGGACACCATGCCGAAGTCAAAGAGAGACAAGAAAAGTAAAAAAAAGATCATAAATGAGTACATTTACAAACTCCACAAGCGGTTGAGCTGTTTAACTAGTTGATTGTATGTCATTGCTCGACAACTGAGAAATAACGCAGGCTATTTAACAAGCTAACATTAGCTTCTCCTTCTGTGGGGAAACACCAACCAGGGGGCTTAACGGTCTGATATTTATCAAACACGATACTAATCCACTGCTTTTCACCTGGTCTTTCCTCTCAGTTTCGTTAACGAAAACAGCCAAGAAGGGACTGCAGTCAAAACAGAAATTAATCGAGGAGGTGAGTGTCCTGTCGCCGCCGTGTGCTATGCTAACCAGAGTGCTATGCTAACTAGCGTAAACTTAACTGAAGCTACGTGTTTCACTGTAAATTCTCTGTTTGTTCTTAGTTACGGAAATGTGTGGACACGTACAGAAACTTGTTCATATTCTCTGTGGCCAATATGAGAAATAACAAACTGAAAGATATCAGGACTGCGTGGAAACACAGCAGGTAACCTTTCTGCTCATTTTATCCCGTTATTCATATACATTCGACAAGTGCTTATCTTAAAGATTTTTTTGTATCTTCTTCCACAGGTTCTTTTTCGGCAAAAATAAAGTCATGGCGGTTGCCCTGGGTAAACGAGATACGGACGAATACAAAGATAATTTGCACAAGGTATGTGAGATGTGATGTGATAGATGTGATCATATGCCAGAAAATGTAATTCTGTTGCAAATAAATACATCTGGACTGCCTGTTGATAACATCCAGGTCAGCAAGTATCTACAAGGAGAAGTGGGACTGCTATTCACTAATAAAACAAAGGAAGAGGTGCAAGAGTAAGTTGAGCCTCACTAATGCACTGACACTTCAGTTATTCTCCAAATAATAAGTGGTTATCTAAAGGGTGTTCTCTATCCGTAGGTATTTTGATAATTTCAAAGAGATGGATTATGCAAGAGCAGGCAACCGTGCACAGATGGACACTACGCTGGATGAGGGACCCCTCGAACAGTTTCCTCACTCGATGGAGCCCCAGTTGAGACAACTAGGACTTCCGACTGCTCTCAAGAAAGGTAAATAAAATGACTGGCAACAAATCCCACTTAAAGACCAAAACCAGCAAGGTAAAAGTCCATTTCTTTGTTTTTTGACTTCCCACTTGGTCTGCTCCATTGCAATGATTCTTAGGGCAGTGGTTCCCAAATGTTTGTCAAGTCCCCCTTTTGAGTATAAAGGGACATTGTAAATGTATGCAAAGTAACTTGCTTTGTTGGCCCAGGTCAGCCTTATACTTTAAACATGTTTCAGTGCAACAAAGGAAACTCCCGTATTTCCATTGGCCCTTTGACAGGACGTTTAAAAAAAAAAAAAATCCAATTGGATGTTGAATCCCATTTTCTATCATGTGCTGTTCAAAAGGAGTGGTGACACTGCTGAAGGAGCATTCGGTCTGTAAGAAAGGAGATGTGCTTACTCCTGAGCAGGCTCGTGTTCTGGTGAGTTCTTGAATGACTACAAAACATTTTAAACTGACACCCAGCGCTGTGTTGCATTTGTCTGACCTCTTCAAATTGGCTCCGTAGAAACTCTTCGGCATCGAGATGGCAGAATTCAAGGTGCAGATCAAGTGCATGTGGAACTCTGAAACGGGCGAGTTTGAGAACGTTGCTGGTGGGGAAGAGCCCATGCAGGACGACGACGATGATGACGAAGATGATGCAGAGTGAAACATCTGCAAGGGCAGAAGTGTTTTCTTCCGGCCTTCAACGGCCCCCCCGACTGCCAGTGCTGTCCTGGACTCAATCATCTCGCTCCTGTATAGCTTTGGACTGAGTTGTTCAGTAAATGGTGGTCAAAAAATCGTACATGTTCCTTATATGAATGTCACCTGTTTTGATAAACAATGTTTTTTGGTTTATTTACATTCAGCCAAAATAAATTGGCACATTCTCATGTGTTAAACCCACCCAACCAGTTTTAAGTGTACGAGGGGGAAAAACAACATTGCAAGAAAATTGATCTAATATTTTAATGTGACAGTAAATGCAGCCAGACTCCCTGAAACATGTTCAAAGTTTTCATTTTTACATTTGTACATTTCCAATGAAGTGCTGTTGGCATGAATATCTACTGGTCTACTGATTCATATTTGTGATTTTCAAGAAAAGGGTATTGGGGATGTAAGTGAAATGTCTTTAGCAGATTTCTCTATACATTTAAAGGAACTGGCAGCGTTTGGCTCTTCAGCGGAAGTAGTTTGGACACTCGTGGGCTACAAGATCCCAAGCCTTGTTGAATGAGGAGACCACTCTCTCATCCAGAGGACCCTCCTCGGCCGCGGCCAAGTTCTGCTGAAGTTGCTCCATACTTGACATGCCAATGATCACTCCATCACCCAGATCCCCCTGACATAGCAAAGAGGAAAACATGTAGAACATCCAGCTACTGTAAGCACCAAATTCAGCCATTGACTAGTGTTGAGGATAAATACACTACAACTGACCAGGCCCTTTCAGATGAAAAAAGGAACGATGATCTGGGTGTTAACAAGTGCCAATATACGGCTACAATCAGCAGGTAAGTCACTGCAGTGAGCTATTTACGACGGGTACCTTAAGTTGGGAGTGATGGTACATCCAGCGCATGGCAGCAGAGGTCAAGGAGGGTTTCTCTGAGCCGTACGCGGTCTCCAAAGTGTCCAGTACCAAGCCTATTGCCTCAAAGTGACTCTGCTTCCAGTATCTGACCGAGAAGACGACAGGCACAATTGCTTTCAGTTCATCAGTAGATGAATCCCTCCAATGTAAGGAGTGGTTGGGAAAATCTCAAGTGCAACCAGCTGGGCGTTCACCTGTCCCTGTATGCTGCAGCCCAGTTGTTGCCAAAGAATCGTCCTGCAGGCTGGGAACCATCTTTATCTTGGTAATGGTACTTTCCTGTCAGAAGGCCACCTGCAGAGGAGAAATAATATTGTCAGAATTCAAGTTAAAATGATCAATGATTCTGCTATTTATGCACTCAATATTGTCACTTGCTCAAGAACACTGCAGTTATGGTAGCAGCTCTGACAAAGGCACAGGGACGCTTTGAGCAATACAGTAAATGCTAATGTTAGCATGCTAACATGGTGCTGGACAAAAAGTCAAGTATTCCCAGGCTGAATATAATGAATACCGTACCAAATCTTTCAGTCTGTATAGTTAAGGCGTTTCCCTCAAAACCTCTAATGTCAACCTTCTGGTGGTGTCTGACTCAGTATTACAGTAGTATTGTATTAATCATAAGTATTCACCTTTTTTGCATAATTTATCACCCACTAAGTATCTACTTTTAGTGATTGTCAGGACGGGAGATATGCACCTGCCAGAGGATTGTACGCGTAGAATCTCATTCCATAGTATCTCAGACATGGAAGCAGCTCGGTCTCTACCTGTCTCGTGGTGGCGTTGTACATCCCCTGTGAAAGGTTTAGTGCACGGAAATCAGTCGAAGGTTTTAATTAAATAAAGGACAGTCAACAATGATCAATCTCCGCCAAAAAAACTACAGCAATTCTGAACAAGCATTTGCACAAAAGATCAGTCTGCTCAATCAGAAAATAATTAATTTCTGGGCCAGGTGAGCGCATGTCAACGAACGGTATTTCACTTACACTTAAGAATTCACCGTTGACATACATTTTGGGGTGATCAGATATTAATCATGATTTTTTTTTTTATACGGAAATACCTGATACACAGAGGGAACAATCCAGTTGTTGTGTCTACAGATGCTGGCAATCTCGGACACTTCCCACGATGCATAGTTTGAAAGACCAAACTCTTTGAATTTCCCCTGAGGGCGACAGTTCCACATTGAATTAAAAATGGAACGAAAAATGATTCAGTATGTTAGAAATATATGCAACTCATAGAGCGTAAGCCATCTAGTCTCTTTGCCTCCTTGTGGAGTTCATTGCAGGCCCTGAGGGTGTCCTGGATCGGGTTTAGGTGGTCAGGGGCGTGGAGGTAGAAAAGGTCCACACAATCAGTCCGCAGGCTCTGAAGGGAGGTTTCCAGCTGAGAACGCACGCTCTCCGGCTTCAGCGTCTTCCCTTCCCAGGGGTTGGCCTTGGTCGCTATGCTTACTGTCGCACAGAAACAACAAATTACAAATGTGGCATTGATTCACAACAAATTAAAACTAGCTAATCTTAGATATTTTACTTAGGTACACGTAGTGTTAACGCAGTGTAGAGGTGGGAATCTTGTGGATCTCTCTACAGGAGTCGATTAAGTTTAATCGTAAACAATTGTATTACATCATCAATTTATTTGTGGTTTATTCTGTATTCCTAATCTGAATTGGGAAAGTAACTCAAATTATCAGACAAATGCAGTGGAGTGATGTGGCCAACTACAAATACCTCCAAATTGTACTTAAGTATATAGAAACATTACTTTAGTAAATCAAATGGTAGCACATGTCTTACATATTGTACGTGGTCCCTTATAAATACAATGAGCACACATTAAAACGTGTTTTCCTCAAATAAGGATCACTTTTGGCCCCTTTTTCCTACCCAGAATTCCAAGCTGGCGTCCACTACATATTCATCTAATTAGCTAATGAGCAACAGCCGGTGAGTCCAGGCGTTGGGTTTTGGGGCACAGAATCATCGCGAACATGCGTGCGTCTGATATACCTGTTTTAGGGAGATTCATGCCCCCTATGATCGCCTCTGACTTCCCGTCCATGTACATGATGGCCGTGTCCACCCGGCTGTGTCCCCTGTCCAGGAAAGTCCTCACCATCTGCAAACTCTGCTCGGCGTCAGCTCGCCCGCCGAAAGCCATCGTGCCCAGCAAGGACACCGGCCGCTTGGTTTGAGAAGAAGACGAAGACGACGACATGTTTCTCCGAGGAGCCCCTGACCCCCGCGATTGTGTGAGCGCGTCTTTAAAAGTGAGACACCTTCCAAGTGCGCAAAGTCTTCCCGTTATTACCCGCTGCATGCTACGAGGCAGCGTATGGCGTGCGTCCCGGAGAGGGGTTAAAGGTCGCTGGAAGCGGGAGTTATGGGAGCGTCGCAAAATCACCCAACTCGGTTAAAACGTAACATGTGCCAAATTACAAAACGCTGCATATTTGGCTTGTTTGCTTTACGGTAGTTCGGTCTGTCCAAAGTGCGCTTTCTGCGACCACTTCCGGTTGTTATGGACACGTCGGCTGACATTTGTTGAAGTCTCTGTTGCATGTGACGTTATATCAGTTGCAGCACGCGGCTCTGCACTTTAACCGCAAGGTGGCGGCAAATCCCCACACAATGCTACAAACTACGCTCATCGGTCAATCCTGCATCCACCAATGTGCAGACAAGACAAACTAATATTGGGATGTAAACATTTACGTGTGTAGTTATTTATTTCAGTATATCATGGATATAGAACCATTAACATGAATCCTTAGGGAACCATCAGAGACCAAGAAAACTATGTATTTTCAGTAGAATAGTTCAATAGCTTTGATCACATTCATAAGTGAACACACTTGTTTACGAATGTCCAGCATGTAACCATAAAAGTGGCTTAAATATTAAAGGTATTAAAAGTAGGCTTTGACGAATGCTGCTGTACAACGAGGCCTCAATAGAAGGTTGATCTGATTAAAAAATATATATATAAATATCTCACCAAAATAATTTATAAATATTCAACGCACTATAATTGCCAAACACTCATTTATCACCGGTAGGGCATAACGAGGCTGCATGTTGTCTTCTATTCGTACTCGATGGGTACCTAAGACATCAGTGCATATACGGGTGAATATGCGGGACCTTTTATTTTTTCCACACTTTACCGTAAGATTCAAACAGCTTAAATATATATTTGTGGAGCGCCCTGACTGGACAAACAAATGCATGTGGTTATCAAAACACGACTTTTTGTTTCGAGAAAAATGTTCCTCGGCCACACATTTGTCAGATGAGCTCTGATGGGTCTTAAGAGCGTCTCATCTAATTCGAACAGGATGCCGCGGAGCTGGTACCCTCGGAGCTGCGCGGACAGCGGTGACCCGGGACCCTCCGGGGTCATGAACACACATGCGCGTAATGAAGCCGTTGTTTGGAGAGCAGCAGCAGCAGTCTGTCTTGGGGTGTGTGTGCGTGTGTGATTCAGAAGCTCTGAATAATAAATGACATCCTTTCCATCCTCCCCCTACCAAACCGCTGCCATAATTACGAAGTCAATGGAGGGAGGCAGACCGCGCGCAGCCTCGGCGACTCTGTGCCCGTCGGTCCGGAGCGTCCGCTGCACTTTTTCAGTCCGTGTCCCACTCGCGCACAGACCTGCGGAAAGCGAGAAAACACACCGCACGTGATGGCTGGGTCGTTTTTGGGAAAGTACAGATCATTTCCACGCGGAAGAACCTTTGTGCGCGTTTTAAGTTTCTCCCAGTGAGCGCTTGGATTTTTTTTTAGTTATCATTCACTTATTGAAACCTCGATCCAGAAACATGGATAGTGTTTTTCATTTTTTCCTAATATTTATTATAGAGGCTCATGCATTGAGTTATGGCATCACCAACAATCTCCAACCGTATATGTGAGTAATCTTTTGTCATGTATTGCTGATTATTTTCTGTTAACTTTTAAAATATTATCCAAGGATGTCTACTTTTTTTTTTTTTTTTTTAAAACAATTTTTCAGCATCAAATTTCCTAAATTTGACTTGCTCATTCACCTGCTTTTTCAAAAAACACAAAACTGACCCAGAGGCAGAGAACTAAGTTTTGCTGAGGTGTTGAAAGCAGCTGTTTGAGCTATAAAAGCGGGATGATTAAAATTGTTGTGCACTCTCATCAAGACCTTTATTGGCAAAGTCACACTGTAATTAACGTGATTATATATCAGCTCTATGTTGATGGTCTGTGCTGCATTCCTAACTCTATCAAAGTTAGTTTGAAGCCCCTCAAAGTGTTTAAACCTCTAAATATTAAGCAGTGAATTATGTGAGACAATATTGTCTGTGGTTAACTGCCACTTACAACGAGGTCTTTCAGTTATGTAAAGTGAATGTGAATACTATTGTTTATGAGACGAGCAGATGGATGTTTTTTAGATTCCTGCTGATCTCTGTATGCGGAGCCTCCTGTCTGACGCTGGAGGGTTGCCGACGCAGTAAATGTCTCAAAGATCATGTTGCGCTTTATTTTTGTACAAGGTACGAAGACATCAGTGGCAGGTCCGCCTGTAGAAGCGCTTTGCGCGAGGGGGACAAAACAGCACAATTAGAAAGTCTTCTCGTGTTTTACCAGGGGGCGAAAACGAGTGAAAACATGCATGTATGTCCAGTGGGAACACTGTAAATGTCTTTGCGTGAATTGTCTGAAAAATGGTGTATTTGGAGATAAACATGAAACAACAAATCTGTGCCAGTTTCACGTCAATGCAAAATGGCTTTCAGGTAAAGGTTTCAAATGTGAAGAGTTGTGGTTAATCTACAGGTAGCAGCTCTGAGTTCTGATAGATAATGTCTGAGGAATTTCCCATGAGTCTTTGAATATACCAAAGCCAGACCTCCCAATCGGCCTTACATCTCGGCACAGGCAGGAAGGCCTTGTAAGCTCCGTCCATCTATCATTGCTGCAGCGCATCCCACAGCCTTCATAAATTGTCCCGCTGCCGTCTGTAAATCTGTAAAACATTTTGACACTAAGTATTTTCACCGCTGCTTTTGTTTCAGGCCCAATGTGTGCGTGGAGAGGGAGGTGACGCTGGTCGCCCAGAGGCAGCCGTGTGTGCAGGCCTTCACACGCATGGTTAAAGTGTGGAAGCAAGGCTGTGCCGCCCAGTCGTGGTGCATGGGATACGAGAGGAGGTGAGTAATACTCCTCCCTTTTGTTGTCTGTCGACGCTTACCGCTGACTCAAACACTCCTCATCTTCACCTGCAGTGGATGTAGCGCTTTGCTGATGAATCTCTGGCTATGGCAAAGCCTTAATTATAGCTTCATGAAGTCGTGCAACCAAACTAATGTATCCGCTTCATTTGACTCCACCTCCAAACAGTATCAAACTGGACGATGTCCTCGACCTCCTCTTTCCTCTCGACCTCTTTCGCTCTTGTTCTGTAATCACAGCCTTGAGCCTCTCATGCAGCTAAGTGCAAGGTGCGGCCCCATTTCATCGAGGCCAACAGCTATTTAACACCCGGGCGTCTTTGCAGCCAGCATTCCTTTGAAGGAGGGTCGAGATGCTAACGTTTTAGCCTGCCTGCGTTTCAGGAGCTTCTCAGTCTGCTGCTTGCGCTCGCTTTCACAGCGTTATCTCACCGCGTTACAAAGTCAAAGGCTGCTTTGAAGGCAGCCAAGGCCACAATTACTCGCTTTAAACAAACGTGTTTCCACATTGGGTAATGACCGTAGAGCAATGAGAGGTGTCCCAAAGTACAGGGATCGGCATCGTTCTCTGAAGTCGTCTCTGCCAGTATCACACTTTGAAATGGCGCCTTAACGGTCTGGGAAAATGTTTGCTGAACATCTTACTGCATGTTACTTAAAAGACTGTGAGATGTTTGATCCAATCTCATGTTTATTTTCTAATCGCATGGTATTCAACCACATGAAACCTAAAAAAGTGCATGTCATATTTCAGATAACGTCACATAATCCCTTTGTATATATTGTATACTTGTTTTTTCGCACACTACTGTTTTACACTACAATTCTACAAAAAGTCCTGTATTGTCAGTTTCTTATTCCTTTTGATTTTTTTCGATAAACCATTTCAACGGGTTTTATTGAAAGCTTTTAACTTGATGTTTGTCATATTAACAGGACAGCGTACTACACTGCATACAGACAAGTGTACCGACAGGATTATCAGACTGTGCACAAGTGTTGCCCTGGATGGTCCCAACTTAATGGAGAAGCAGGCTGTCTGTATCGTAAGTATCCAACTATCCACATGCTGCTTCAATAATTATACAAAAAACACGTCTTGGGTTTTGCGGTTAGGTATGCTTACTCGTAGGCATTCGATATGCTTTCCTGACTCAGCGGGAGGAAAGATGCGTTAAACATCACCTCGGCCTTTGCAGAGACTCCTGAATGAATGGTTTTCAGAAAAAGGTCAAAAGGGTCAAGAGATGCTTTGCCCATCCACTCCCGAGCAGATGTTATCGGTCAGTGCCATGACCTACTTGTCTTTTTACAGTCCCACAAGGTTTAGATGTGGATGGTGGGAAAAAGAATCTCACGTGTTGTAAGACTTAAGTGTTGGCATTTGCTCTCAAAAGATCTTTGCGTTGCATTGTAGTTTCTTTTACTACTTTCAGGAAAAACAATTACAATTTAAGGTGAAGTCACGGCTCTGCAGCGCTCCTTTGGTTTGCAGAGGACAATTTGCCTGACAGACGTCTTTAACAAGGCACGGTATTTACTTTTAATACGATGAAAGTGCAAATGGTCCACATTCCCCCTCCAGCATGTGGTCCCATGTGTAAATGTTGGATGACCACCATAGGGTCATGTGACACTACTCGTTCATAGGTGTGACAAGTCAGAGGATTGCATCATGAGTATTAAAACGTAAAGGCCCAGCCAGAGTTTACCCCAACCAATTATCCGGGGCCCCCTCAACAATACCTTTCGAGTCACGGTGGCGAGACCAACTGCTGATGCGCATGAAAAAGAGAAAATATGAATCTCTCCCGTGTGAGTTCCAGTCCACAGGTCCATGTATGGAAGCGTAGCTCCGATTGTCACTCTGGGGCTGCCAGCAGCTCGTCTCCTTGTGGATAAGCTTAGCTTCACACCGCTGGGACAAAGAAGCCTCCTTTGATGGGATTTCACAGCCAGTGATCCAGAGCACATAGCCTGCATACCATCGACGGGCTCCTGGCAAAGCCTTCCTGTAAACAGTTTGTGCCCTGTACGGTCGACTGACAAGAAAGTTTCCGCTTCCTTGCTCTCGTTGCTTTACCTGGAACTGACCCGCATGCTCAATGGCCACCGTCCGATGAACACCCTGTGTTGGGATGTGGAGCGAGAGACCTGGATGAGCCTGCCATGGCTTTTCATAGCGTTTTATACAAATGTCTTTGTTTCCAGAGAAAAGGTTATGGCATTAAACAATACAGTATAAAGAAAAATTTCTGCTCCGCAATGAGTTTGGATTGTTTTAAAATGGTCATAAAGACATTCCTCATGCTTTCCCCTCAATTCGGTAGACAGGAGTTTTTTTTTTTTTCTCGTGACAATGGCTGCCCTCCCTGGCGTGAGGCAGGGCTTTTATCTCCGTAACCAAAGACGTGGCAGCACTTTGAGATGAGAGAAACTAATCACCCTTTTCTCTGAGCCATTGAACAAGGATAAAGGGAAGCTCACACCACGATCCCCCCTCTCCCACTCCCGTGCACTTTGCTATGCGCTATCTCTACTGTACCTCAGTCAGCACAATGCAATCTGTTGGGCTGTTTTCAACAGCGCCTCCAACATCCAAAGGGAAGAATCTGCACCGCAGAATGTACAGCTTTAGCAAATCCCCTAAACCTCCCCAAAGAAGGGAAGATGGGAATGCTTTGTGTGTGAGATGGTGATTTAGTGTCTGCCACTCCTGGGTTTTCTTGTCTCTTTCTCTGTGTGTGTTCCCTCATAAAATGTCAGTGTAGGGTAATTAGGAGAACGGCTTGTTGAATTGGGGCTCTAATCATGTTGTCCACACAGTGGCTTGGAAGTGGCTGCGAGTCGAGTGGTTTGCCCTTCTTGTAGTTCACCTGAGATTCTCTTGTGCCTCTGTATCCACACATTGTACAGATGTTTACATCCTGTCAGTCTTGCAGTGGATGTTTTTTGTATTGTTGTGCTCTCCGACAGTCTTTGCTTATTCTAGTCATTCATGGGTTTGGAAAAAGAAAATGGCACAGCAAACATCTGGTTGTTTTTTGCTAAGCCCACCACTCGTTGTCTTCCATATCTTTTTGTTTCATTGAATTGTGACTGAGTTTTTCATTTACACTATGGCATTGATCAAAGATCGTATCACATCTATTCAATGTTTTTACAATACAGGAATAACTTGTCTATAAAGAGTCAGCCGGGTAACTTGTGTAGTCCTTATACCTTTTTTATAAACTAAAAGTGACTTTTGTGGATTTTGTAAAGGGTCCAAATGACCCAATGACTATCTTGTTCTGCTGAAGAGGAAGAGCTATTGACTTTGGGATGGCGACTTCCTCTAATTAAACATTTGGAGGACCACTCAAACGGCGAGTTAAACCCTCCACCTCAGCATGTAGCCAAGGGCCGAGCGAGGATGGACGATGTTAGGCGGGAGTGGAGACGCTATGTTGATTGACGGCAACAATAAGCTTTGTGGCAGGGTCTGAGGGGCAGGGACAATGTCTCCTCCAGTTTGTCGTCCTCGTTAACTGCTGAATAGGAACTGGCCCCCTTTTGTGGTGGCAGCAGGCTGGCGAAGGTAGCTGGGCCTGTGAAATGGGCCTAGTGGCCACAGAAGAGGAAATGGTCCTCTGTCTATCCGTGGGTGGTCTCTGTGTGGAGAAGATGTCCTGCAGAGCTGAACACAAATGTATCCAAACTCCCACATAAATCTATTAATACAGAGGTTGTTCGGTCGGGATAATACTGAAAAAACTAAACAAAAGCTGCCACAATTTCTGTGACTGTTTCCATATTATGTAGCTATGAGTGCTCTCAACATCCTGAGATCTGTCTGTAGCTAGCTGGCAGAACGTGTAATGGGAACAAACTGGAAGTTATTGTAATAAGAGTCTGGCGGCAAACATGGCAGTCAAAGACAAGAGGCAGACACAAGGACTTTAAGTAATCACATGACCTGCTGTCCAGTTGCACATGTGGTTGTTATGTGAGACGGCAATATTAGTAAGGTGAGCCGGTAGCTTATGCAGGGAACGAGCTGCCTGTGTTTAAAATGTGCTGTATGATTCCTTTTGTGACATACAAGCCATCATCATGTTAAATCCACATCTGTTCTTTTAGAGCGAGTAGAAGAGCAGAAATGCGCCACGCAAATCTTGACCACAACAGGTGTTTTTTAATCGGTCAACACTGTGACGTGACTAGATGGTAATATTCTCATCCACGTAGTCAGAAATTAGGATCAAAATACATTTCTCTCATAATGTAGGGAGCAGCAAATTGCAGGGTTGTGCACGCTTGGACATTGTTTTGCCATGCGTTGCTCTGCCTGCTGTGTCAAATCAGCCTAATGGGAGGTTCACATGGTATTTGAGGTATTTCAAAGATCATCTAACATAGCTGGCCCTGTTTTTTCACATAAAGTCTTTGAAATGACACATTCCTTTTGTACAGCGAAACATGATTTGTTGCCTCAAAAGTACAGTGATCTGCTCCATGCGTAACAATCGTGGCACTAAACGCCGGCCTTTGTGTCTGTGCGCTGTCCTTTTTAATGTTCTCACCCTCTCACTCCAGGGGTTAATCAGGTCGATGGAGCCTGAACAAACGCCGGGCTGCGTCTGTGTTGACGGTGGTCGTCCCCTTCCCAAGCTGCCTGGGTGACACCTGCTCGTTGTTTATCGGCACAAGTCGGCGAACCCTGCTGCTCTTTTGGCGGGAGCTGCCGATCCTCTCGCAGAAGGTGTCTTTATAACAGAGTAGATACGTTCCAGGCCACAGATGAGCGTGAGTTTTGGGCCACGCTGCATGCCGCATTAAGAAAAGATTTCAGGGAAGATTAAGCTCGGGGGGCGTAAATGCCCCGATTAGCTGCCGACAATCCCGTGTCTCAGAAGGGGGAATGTGCTTTCCCCTTGTGGTCGCTTAGCCATGCTACCCTGGAGTGACTCTGACCACTGAATTGTGTATTTTTGTTCTGCTTGTCTGTCATCTGTAGCTTTCAGCGCTCCATAATTACCTCACATTAGAAAATCACAGAAGTGGGGGTAGTTATGTATGTTGAACTAATACAGTGAATCATAGCTTCTGTAGTCAGTCTTGAGGTACTGAAAGCCATCACGGACAGATTAGCAGCCATGAAATGGCCTTCCTGTTGGAGTAGGATTTCTAGCGAATCAGCAAATAATGCAAGACATCTTGGCTATTTAGAAAAGGACCACGGAGGTATTTGACACGGCATCAGTCTGGAAAATGCTGATGGGTGTTTTCTTTAGAGACAACAAGCGAGCGATGGCTTTTGATGTTGTGCGTTTAGACTCCCTGGATGGTCCAAATGTTGAGCAGGTGTCTTAAGGATGCAACCAGATGACAGGCGGATGTTTAGTCTCGGCGCCGGTCTACAAAGAGCCCAGAGACTCCATGAAAGTATGAAATCACTCTGGCTCATCTGTGATTATAATTGAGCACTTCGTCATGCCCCTCTCCTTTTGGCTAGACATATTATGTTATTCCCTTCTGCTTTCATGACGTTTGTAGATTTTGTTTTGTATGTTTTTTTATTTCTACGGTCATTTTAAGAAGTATTGCATTATAAAAATGGACATGGAAACATTCATTAATAAGCATAGAGACCATTTAACTCGTATTCTGACTGACTGCGTCCTCCCAGATATTAGCTTGAAGCATGAATGCTTGTCTTAGTCTTCAGACGACACTAATCATGGCCAATAGTGGTTCAACAATAAACGCTTCCAATTTAAACAAATTCCTTAAGGTTTCTTTTGTAAATGGATTGGATAACAAGCTGATTTGTTAGATTTCAGTTTTGAAGCCTTTTGTAATAAATGGATTAAAGCCATACGTAGCCCATATCTCCAACTTCCCAAGAAGTTGATGGTCACAACTCCCAATTCTTGTTTTAAAAATTTAAACTAAAATTGGCTTGACAACTGACAACTGGCAGCGCCTGGTGTGATGGGGGATCATTAGATGTGCAGAAAAATGCGGATTTGGCAGAAGATGTACGGTTCAACTGACATTCAGAGGCCCTCTTCACAATCATCTTGGGGAAGGTTACTATTTAAATCTCTTGTTATTAGCGTGACTGTGCGGTTCAATCTCGTGTCCTCATGTCGCCAGTCAGGAAAAGCAATGACCGACATCAATCATCTGGATCCGTCGTCACTAAACACTGTATTCTGCTCAGGAGGTTTGGCCTAAACAGCTGTGTCTTGCTTAGGAACATTAGACTTGACGCACATCAGATAAGAACACAAGCAGGGAGACTTCAGCACACAAACACGCATATTTAGGTGAAGGACTGTCATGATTAATGCAAGTGTTTAAGCGTAGGGAATGTGATGGTAAACCTCATGTGGATTCATATGTTTCGACCTCCATAGTTTATGTGTTCTTTTGAAATTCCCATCTTAACTAGCATGACCAGTTTGACTTAAAGGGCTTTATATACGCAGGGCATCGAGAGATGGAAGCGCCGCGCTCACCTGGTGTTCTGATTAATCCCTCGATCCACCAACTGTTTGCAAAAAAGTTCCTTTAATCAGGGTCATTTTCAGGTAACTACAGGGCAGTAAGTGAAGTCATCCAAGCTGCTGTTAAACGCCCTCATGTTAAACACTCCTGCAAAATGGCGTTTAGAAATGTCTTTGCCGAGAGCCTGAGCTCAAAGACGGATTCCTTCTACATTGGCTGTTGTGAATGGAGGAGAATCGAGGTTCCTCTCTAGTCAGGAGTGAACAGGTAGACTCTTTGATCAAAAGATGTCATCATTTGAAACCGAAGATGTCGACATCTCATGAATAACGCCAGGTGTCTTTCCTTCACTCACTATTTTCTTTTTTTTTTCATGTTTCTTTTTGTTTCCTACCATCCTGTCTGCGTCCACGCGTGCAGCTGTCTGCAGCTACGGCGTGTGCTTCAATGGGGGCCAGTGTCGGGTTGGATCCACTCAGCTCTGTGACTGTCCTGCAGGGTTCAACGGACCCAGCTGCCAGTATGGTGAGTAGAAACAGCCAGACTATGTTTCATATTCAATCCCTTTTCTTCTCCCCTTTCAATTGTTTGATCTCCGCCCCCCCTCCCCACTCCCTGCTTCTAACAAACCATACAAAGTGATCTTTTACACACATTGAGTTTCCATTACTGTCAGTGGACGCAGTAGGTCGTGACAATAAAAGCCAGAATCCTAAAACACTTCTGATTGAAGGAGATTAGAGCGTGCCGTTTGATTGAAACCACCTTTTCAAGCTCTTTGTTCGATCCCACAATTGTGATCGGTCTGTCTGCTCTCCAATCCTCCCCACTGACCTCTGTTTGAGTGACTGCCTTCCTCCACAAAAGAATGAGAATCTCAGCATTTGGCTTCTTTATCAGCGTCTCCATTGTTGAATTTGAGCTGTTGAAGTAAAACAGCGGAGGACTCTGTTTTTATTCTGATAACACCACACGACAGGAAATTCCTCTTGGTGTCCACATGTTTTACCAGAATCGTCCGTCTGTCCACACAATTAGGCTCTGCTAAACACCGGGTTGCATGAGTCAAGTTCAAACTGCAGGGACACAATGAAGATCTCGTTTTGTTTGTGTTCCGTCCACATTTAACGCTCTTTGTCGCGCATCCAGAAGCTGCAAGTTCCTTTCTAACTTCAACCTTTAACATGTAATGTTCCTAGAAAGATTTTTCTGCTCCACCACACCCGTAGCTAAACATTCTCTTCCTGTTGAAGGACTTATGATCAAGCTTTGGGACTTGCAGCAATGACTCGTAAGCCTAAGCTGACCTAACTTACGTCTGATTACTTCATGCTTGATATAAAAGACTTAATTACAAGCTCTTTGGATCCATGAACACACGGTTCACACAGACTATTGGTTGCTGTTTTTTGAGCTGGTCCTGAATGGCCAAGTTGAAAAATGGATTTACAGGAAATTACACATATAAGCACCGTTTCATAGAGACTCTGCATAAAGACTTGAACCACTCTGCAGAGCGTTGAAGGGCCAGTGCACACAGCGGGTATAAAGTAATAGGACTAGTCATGACGGTCAACCATTAACCCTAACATCCTGACACATTTAGTAGACCAAAACATTCTAATGTCTCTTCACAAGAGTAAATATACTTGAATTGCAGTTGGTGTCGTTGATTCCTCTAATATGGTAATAATGAGTCTTTAAAACTCCCCCGTTGGCTGTAAATGGACCGGCATGTCCAATAATGGGTCTGTTTACTGATCAATGAGGGATAAAAGAGGAAACCTCAAAGCGGTTGGAATGAATGCTCAGTTTATCGGGAAACTATCAAAATACTGTAATCAGTACGAGGAAAAGAAAAGAGGAAAGAAAACCCTGTCATTGTGGAGTCTGTTGTGTAGCAATTGTGTTCCTGATATCTGAAGAGATATGAAAGATGAGTTTTTGTGTTTGACTTCCAAACTAAATGCAATTATGTCCTGAACTTTACAAAACCAGCCACCAGCGGGGTCCTCGGGGTGCCATCGCTGGTGGAGAGCTGCGCAGCCTTGACTGGCCCTTTTTTTTTTTTTTTTCTTGGATCTTTTTGTACACTCCGTTATATTGGCCTGTGATTGTCGTGAAACGGGCCGATGTAACATTTGGGGTTGCGGCCGCCAGCGCAGGCAGGATTACACTCACAGCTGTCCCTCTTTTTGAGGTGCCGCGTGTACAGAGGTCACTCCTGTGTCGGGGGGCAAAGGGCATAAACTGCAGGCTGGGGGCAAAGTGGCTATTTGGAGAAAGCGCCGTAAAATCACTTCTAACAAAAGCCTCCTTTCACTCAGTGAAGGCTCTGATTTGACCGGCGCTCGCCGGTGGCCACGCAAACACCGTTTTGTTGTAACCGTCACTTTTCTTGAGTCCCAGATAAACGACCTCGCTGCGTGGACGAGACGGATGCTGCCGTTGCGGCTCAGCCACGGCTGCGGTCCACGTGCTGCACAGCGCCGTCCGTCACTGCCCGTTCTCTCCTCGTGTTTACGCCAAACACCGTGGAGGGTGTGGCCGAGGACGAATGCGTGGAACCGCAAGAGGCTCACTCATCATTTCATTAGTTCAGATGTCAGCGTTTGCATTCCTCCTGCCGTGACATGTGGTGATCGCTCCGCGAGGAGCTTTTGATGTGGTTCGCCCGTATTTCTCTCCAGCGAGTTGTGTGTTTACGTTGTTGGAAGGGGCCAATTACTGCCTCGCGCTCGGTTGTCTGGAGCTGTCCTCTGTTTTGCTTTCTTTAGTATAGCGTTGTGTCTCAGTGACGCTCAAGACGATAAATACTGTCCATTTATTCAAATGATTCACCGGGTACCCGTTGTAACATTTGATGGCGTTAAGATAAGCTTGGGTTTGATAGAGGAGAGGAGAAATGGGTCAATTATTCAACGTTAGGTATTTTAAGAAACCTGTTTTTAATAACTCTAACTTTCTTCTGAGGTGAAGGGGTCCTGAACACAGCATTATCGGTCATGAGACACTATTCTGTATCTTTTTATTCTGTCCTCCTCATACTTGTTGAACTTGATGTTCTTTTGTGCAGCATATCAGGATTTTAGCAACATTTTAATCCCTTGTTAATAACGGGCTTGTTGCTTGGCTGATCTAGTGGGATGTGTATGTCCCAAGCTTTGGTACTTATTGTTGCTTAGTTCATTGAAGATATTTTGGCATCTTTTGTGTATCATTTATAAAGATTCATTACCAATGAAATGTATGTAGATTTTCCAAGTCCCTGTTGTGTGTGATTTTTGTCAGTTTTTGCACTGAAGTACTTTTGTCTTGCCTGTATCCAGTGTGGTTTTGTCAATCGGTGCCTGATGTACTCGGCATCCAGCTTGTCATCGGTAGACAAGTGGTGTCCTCTGGGATCAAGAGCTTCCAGAGCTTTTAGACCTCTGGCAGGGCAGACGTCTTCGTACCAGCTGACATCTGGAGAGACAGACACACCTACTTACTTTTTGTAACATGAACCCTTACAAGGGTCTTAGTTTAAGAATCTTGATCTTATAAAACTACCTTTTTACGTCTCGTCGGTTAAAGGTAAAATGAAATTGAGCTTGCATAGATAAAATTGATTAACTTTCTATTAGTCCTCAAATAACTCTTTTAAGAGTTTTGAAATCCTTGATACTAGCGGGAAGCATCTTTCCAAATAGATCTAACCCAATGTGAGAATCTTTTTTTTTTTTTTTTTTTTGTTCTCACAGGTTTAATATACGTTGTTTTTGGCTTTTTGTTTGTTAATTCCAAACTGCGAAAAGCTTTACTGAAAGAGCTCTTATCTAATTGAAATCGATGATGATGATGAATGGATCTTGGCCGGCTTTGGGGTCATTGTAATGTCTGGATGACCCGCTTGTTCTACAGACTATGCTGATAGATAGTCGTCATAATCCGTGGATGAACAAAGTTTATTGTATCAGTAGCATCTACGCATGTTATTATCTTGAACTGCCACAGTTAAGTGCAGATATTTGAGGTTTCGTCCATTCTTACCAGTAACAGTTTATTATTATCCAGCAGGATTATCCACCAGAGAGATTAACACCCAGTTATTGAATATAGTTTTTTGCTCAAGCTTATAACCGGCCGACTGAAGCTTAATAATGCCGTCAGTTATTTCTAAGGAGCCTGTTGGTGCGTGACGTGAGTCCTCCACAGTCTACTGGCTGAGAAATGGCACAAGAAGAACCTGCTGAAGTCTGATTCTAAACAAACGCCTTGTGAAAGATTCAGAGATGATGACACGTCTGAGTGTTTCTCATACATTGTCTAAGCACTTAATTAGGACGTTTAATGAAGTCAGATCAAATGACACAATTGAACAAAGACAGCGGTGGAAAGTAACCTTAAATACACACATGAGTAAATTGCTGTACTTATGTACAATTTTAGGGTTGACTCCGCTTTCAGCTGAACCAGTTCACGTTCCTTCGTGCTACTTCTAGCCTTTTTAATTTCAGAGCAAATATGGACATTTTTATTCCCTTAAATTAACTTTACAACCAGTTATTTGTTTCAAAGGGGTTTCACCTACAATACAGCAGAATCATTTATGAAAAAAAACATTGCTCCAGTCCCCAAAAACGTGTTGGTTTACTACAACATTACAATTCTTACTGTGGTTCTGTCTCGCAGCGTGCTTGTTTAGTTGCAAGGTCAGAACAGCAACCCTGGAGCTATTGTGGAGATTAATTTGCTTGTTAAAGGAAACTTGAGTTGAACAAAACCTTTTGAAATGAACAGACTTGAACTGGGGTCGTCCGGTCAAAACCTTTTTAAGAGGCCAATAGCTGGAGAACAATGTAACCAGTCATCACACGAGACCACTCACATCTGACTTTCTGCTTCTGTATGTCTCACTGTCTCTTCTTTCAGTTCCCTAACTGGTCTGTATTTGTAAGATTTTGGTAAACGTGGATACATGGAGGGTTTATTCCTTTTATTCATGACAAGCACTTTAAGGCCAAAGTTAACACGTTGGTGGCAGGATGCTCATAAGTACTGCTGAACAGTCGGACTTTGATCTTATGGTTGAATGCAACATACAATAATCTATTGTTTGCTCTTTTCCCCCCCCCTCTAATCACCATTGATTATAGTATTAGTATCATTGTGCGCTTGGTTAAGCTGATTAACGTGACAGAAGTGACTTCTGCCGTCTCCCCCTGCGCTTAACATTTCAGAGGAGCGGAGAGGTCAAAGGTCAAGGCAGCACGTGAATCTATTCTGCCATTTTAGAGCGGCCCCGAACACCCATGGCTTCCCTCGCAGGTAATGCACAGCAGGACGGTTACGCAACATCTAACCTCCTCTGTTGAAAATGCGGGGCCATCGTCAAGCCATTTTAGGACTAAACATGAGGGAAACCATCTGTTACTGCTGCTCGTTCCCGTCACTGTCAGAGGATGAGAGGTCTGCATGGGGCCAGGTTGTAAAATAACATCCCTCTCATTTATGGCTAAACCATTTCACACGTGCTCCTCCCT